CAGTCTGAACTGGCAGCAACCCATCACTGAAGTCATGCCTAAACTACTTCCTACCTCCCCATTTAGCAGCAATGATGACTTCATCATTGTATGGTATCCTTCCTTTCTTTGCTCTTTGAACTGACAAGCAACTTCATTAGATGAGTTCACATTTTAATCATAACCAAATTGTTCTGTCTACTCCATGACTTTTTTTTTTTTTTTTTTTGCTTGATTGCTTAGCAAAACTGAGTGTCATCACAAACAAGACAAACAGGAAGACAACAAGACAAACAGCTCTGCTTTTGGCTCAATTTAGCATTACCTGTTTTTGATCTTTTGAAAAGCTTCAAGCACAGTGCTGTATGTTTTTTTTCCTCATCTTGAAGTGTCAGAATTTAACAAAAAGGATGCAGTATGAAAGAATAATTTTAACTAATCTGACTGTAAATATTGCAGAACACTATCATTAGAACATATACTCCATTTATTTTAATCTTTCAGGATATATCCATAAGGTTTCATACGGAAACTGTATAGTGACAACAATATCACTATTAACACTTCAGATATAATTATATTCCAATACATATTTAGCAGCTTTCCAAAATCAGGCCTGATTATAAGCTCTGAATAAGAACAAGATTGCACCAACATGAAGGCAAGAACAAACGTCTGACACATGGAAAGAAAAAGTGACAAAAAGTATTTTACTTTTTTAGCTCTACAATCTTCATATGGAAATGTTCAGGATCCATCTGTTAAGGTAATGTCTATAGTCCATTCTTAGAAAAGCATTCCATGGTCTTTCATGTAGGCAATCCTCGAAGCTCTTACTATCATATGCTGTCCAGCTTCTTTAAAACAAATGGAGCTATGGAAAGAAACACAGTAATGCTCTCAACAAACAAAATGAGACATTTAGATCATGACTCCTGATTTATGGTAAGTTTAGCTAAAGGAGGACGAAAGTGATAGTATTCTCCTAGTATAGGTAACTGACAATGAATGTCCTATGTAAGTGTAACTACACCATGGTAAATTTTTTAGTAAATATTTTTTGCTTAGTTTCTCCATTATGTAGTATGTATGTAGTAGTGCACTAATTGATCTGATCTTGAAAAGGCAGATTTAAGAAAATTGCACTGAAAACAAAATGAGCTTTCCATTTCTTGAGCACCTGTATTGTTCTGAAGGCATCAGTGTTTATTCAATACCTCACTTTAAAGTTATATAATTCAGGTGTACAAATCGTGAAATACTAGAGAGATATTTTAAAAATGCAAAACAAAACGGAAAGGCATTATTTCTCAAGTGCCAAATGGTAAGCAGGCCCATTGGAAGATATTTTTTTCTCTACTGTACTTTCTGGGTATCTACTGTTGGAACTCAGGGGACAAGTGGCAGTGTTCAAAGAACTGCTACCAGTCCAAGCCTCTGGCTTAATGAAATAGTGTCCTTATATCTCAGCTGCAAAAATTTAACATCTGTTAAAATTACAGTTATCTTTTCTACTTTTTTTTCTGCCATGTAAATGACACTCTGGATTTGAACTTGGAATGAATGCATCTGCTATTGAAGATCGGAATGGAGGAGAGTGTTATGGGCTGCATCAAAAAAATTAGCAATGGCACCAGGTTCCCCTGGTTATGATTGTTCTGAGGGTTTTTTTTTAATTTTACATTTTTTTACATTTTTTTATCCTTGGGTTGCAATTCCCCGAGTTTGGTTTAAGATAGACAGCCACATAAATATTTATACTAACTTTACTTATTTAAAACAAATTAGCGGTTGATCCTTGTGCGAGTAATCTCATCCCATCGAATAGGCAGCCAGTAAATTTAAATAAATAATCTGCTTTAACTCCAACCAGCAAACATTTTTTATTTATAATTGAATTTATATTGCCGCCTATTCGCCTGTGGACGACACAAGGCGGCTTACAAAGTATAAAACCCCATTTAAAACAGTAAAACTAATAAAATGACTCCAATAAATTAATATAATAATATAATAGTATAGGACCACTTTCCCATTTCCCCGAAAACAACTCCCTAAGGCTAGACCGAGGCATGCCTGGTCAAAGGTCCCCCAGTGACCTACCATGAGCCAGAGTTGCCTTGAATCCAATTCCCCTTCGGGATCTACTTCAAACCCCTTAGCCACTACTCCGCCCCGCATTTCCTAATGGTATGAAATGCTATAGAGCCACTCCTATAAAATCCCCGTATAAACCCCCCACCCACCCAACATTAAGGTCACTGCTAAATCCCGGGCTTTGCAAGAGAAAAAATCCCCAGCACGTGGTCGCCGCCGCCCACATGTGCGCGCGGGAGGCACTCACTGATGCGCAGCACGGCTACGTAGATGAGGAAGTTGCGGATGGAAGAGAGAACGTCCTCGCGCATTTTGCGCTTCAGCTCCTCCGGGTCCAGCTTGGGCCCCAGACCCTCAAGGCGGAACATGGTCTCGACTGCCGTTCCTCTACTGAGCCAAAGAAGCCTCCGAAAAACTACCCAGGGGCTCTCTCGGAATAACCCCGCCCTCCCTACGGATGTCACTGAGGGACAAATTTCTTGCTACGGTCGGCGCCCAAGGGGAAAGACTATTCTTGTTTCCCCTTCCACACTTCCGGTACAGAACGCTTTTCAATTCTTGAGTTCCGGAGCCGAAGGAAGGTTCTGATCTTAAGTGTGATGGGAGATTAAACAAAGTCTGGTAGAAAATCGCAAGTGGTTTCCCCCCCCCCCTTCTGATTTTTAACGTTTCGTCTTTTCCGCACTTATAGTTTCCTTATTATGTAAAATAGACCCGCTGCCTGTCTCCTGTAAAAAAAAATTCCCTGTTCTCTGCACAAAAGTAACGCGGCTTTAAAAATTTAAGATTGGGAGGGCGGATTTATTACAGCCTTACTAAGCTGCTACATTTCGGTTCCTGCTTCGATCTGCAATAAAAAAAATAAGCACAAATGTGCTCTAACTACACTTTTATAATACTTCTGCTAGGAGAAAAAACAAACATTCTAATGTTATATCCAACAGTATGCTGCAAATTGCAATAACTATTTGACACATACATTGGGGAGTTGAGACTGAAAAAATACTATCCTCGTCGTGTGCCAGAGCGTGTCTTTGTTTTCTTCTGTTTACAATAATAAATGGAAATGATTTTCAGGATAAGGTAAAGAGTTCTAGGTGTAGAATAAAGCACACATGAGACATATCCAATCCATCTATAGATGTAGCCAGTTTGACAGATAGCAAATTGAAAGACAATTCCATCATCCTGGTGATCTTGATCACAAATTTCCTGCAGAATAGGTTTTCACAACCCCCTATGAATATTCCAATATAACAACCTGGCTGGTTTGTGACACAATATAGCCTTCATTCTGCATGCTTGCAATGATAATGAGACATTAAGGAACATTTGAGTAACAGCTACTACTCAGGCATTGTTTGGAATTGATCCCAAGATGTTTTGCTACCCTCAAAAGAACAACTAACTGTAACTATTTGATTGGGAAGAACCCCATTATCAAACCAAAGTTCACAGTATCTAAAGCCAGTAAAATGTTGGCACCAATGGCTGTTCATCCATGACAGAAAATCATCTTTACCATCACCAATATTTTTCGTCTTCTGAAATCAGCTGCCTCACAGCTCTCTACATATAATATGGCATTGCCTGCCATCCAATTTACAAATAGGAAAGGAATATCTCTGGATCCAGATTGCTGGCAAAATGCTTCTCAGTAGGGCTACCTTGCCGAAGATCCTCAAGAAATAACTTATAATTCGGGGGGGGGGGGGGGGGGGGGGAACTGTTCACCATTTTAAATCCCACCAATGCTGTATCAAATGGTAGCTCTCTTCCTCAACTTCACCCACTTGTGCTGTTGAATAAGCTTAGGGTTGGGGGACTGTTTTTGTATGTAGTAACTGCTACAAGACTATTATATGTACAAAACTGGAAAAACTGAAATATAATGGGATAGTTGGCTAAGATGACATAATTAGCAGAGATTCTTGATTAGGATAAGGACAATAACCACATTTATTGGAAGTGATTGGAAATACCTTTTGGACTTTCTGCTAAAAAAGAAAATGGGTTGGAAGCTGATTCATCATTTTTTAATTGCATTTTTTCACTTATTATTAACTTTACTCTTTTTCCAAAGTTTGTATTGCCTTTATTCTCTTAAAATATATGTAATAAAAATATTGTTTAAAAAAGAATCGGGCAACTGATTGGTAGAAGAGTCAGTGGGCTTTGACTAAGAGCTTTATAATACAAGCAATCATTAATGAAACCCAACTCCTGCTTAGAGCAGTTGAAAGAACAATCAACATAGGATTTGATTCTCCTAACTCTTGTTACCCTGCTACATGGTTTGGGACATAGAAAATAGCAGGGAAGAAACAAAGCTATGAGGACAAGAGATAAAAAGGGTTGCTAGGGCATTCTAGTGGTTATATAAATAGTTAATGAGGAAAAGCTCAGAATTTGGGTCCTAGCTCTGATGTAATAGTCAGGTTATCCTTGATTCTATGCTTTACAGGAATATGGGAAGGAGAAGCACATGGCTGATAGAGAAGATATAATTATTTTCTAGCTTTCCCAGGTTGAGATTTGGGAGTTGAATGCAACATGTGTACGTGTTGGGCATCTGGCTGTGCAAACTTCAAGGTTTGCCTTTTCCCTGCTTTAGGGTCTCTCTAGAATTTGTGTAGTGTCCTAAAAGTGCTTTGTCACTGCTGAGAACATCAGGTGGGCATTAAAATAGAGAAAGCAGGAAGATCTAGGAAGCACGTTCATACATCGGCAATTAATGTTTATGTATAATTCATTCCCACTCATTCAGTTGGCAAAAATTAGAAGTGCTGCAGAACCAGAAAGTTAGGCCTTTGGGAGAAGATAGTGAAGGAGCAGAGAGCTTCTACAGACAGCTCACAGAGCTATGACATTTACTACTAAGATGAAAGAAGGTGATACTAAGAGATAAGAATAAAAGTGGGATCTTTAGAAATTTTATTTTCCTTTCCAAAAGCTTACCCAAAAATAAAAGTGTCTGATGGGCCAGGTGAACTGAAGAATCTTTCAAATATAATCACTGGAAACACCTCATTAATTGCTAGAATGTCTATCTTATTCTAGGCATTTTCTGTGGCTAGAATTGGGGCACATTACATTTTTCAAACAAGGAGCCACACTTGACTTAATTAGCCATAATTTGTCTTTGTTATCTAGAGTAATAAATTATATCTAGCATTGAAGTTGCAAAGACTATCAATTTCTCTTGTTTTCTACCATCTTAGAGTTGTATGTACTATAATGGGATAAGAGAAACATGAGCTGAATTTCTATTTTCAGAAATCATGATTTTTATAGACATTTGTCTACTTCTTTCTAACAGGATTGGACAAGCTGTTTTGCAATGTATCTCAACTTTTTTTGAACATTGTAAGATCGAGTTTGGAAGTCTAAAAGCTGTCCACCATATCATCTAAAAATATAAACATTGCAAAAATGACCATGTTTTTCTCTATCAAGTTTTGCAGTGATTTTGTTCAATTGGTGTAATAAAGCTATTGCTATTATGGATTTTAATTTTTTTCCTTCGACATACCTACACTATTTTTATACTTTATATTTTTATTTTTGATATCTTTACTAATGTTCTGTATAAGTAAAAATTGCAGTTCAGTCAATCTAAATGCCTCCTAAGTGGTTTTATTTTAAATTAACCTAATTCTATTTTTTATTGACCTTCAAATAGTTTCTTTTACTATTAATGCTTTTCTTTCACAGTTTTCAAAATCCTTTTCTAAATTTTTCTGAGCTTCAACAAGAAGAGCAACAGAGAAATAGAATGATGATTATGATTGCCAAATTCCATAAAGAATTCAAGTTATTTTCTCCAGAATAATTATTTGTGAATTGCGTGCAGGGAGATGTTATCCTATATCAACTGAGAAGAATAGAAGCAAATGTTGAAGAGAAGAGAAAGAATGAGAGGTGCAAGTGGCTGTAGACATACTTGCTGAAGAGCATGGATTATTTGGGAAATATGAAACATTTCAATCTTTTGTTGTGTTTCCTGTCTAGATATCTTTTCTGATCATTTTATCTCTATCCAGTATCTTTCCAGGACAGGTACCTGTTACCCTAACCTTCCTTTTTTTCCCCCTCTTCCTTTTTGTTGTTTCTACTGGAAGCAGGGAGGGAATAATCTGTACATGCAGATGCAGGATCAATTATTTTTATAAATAGAAATAATGCTTTTACAGTGAAGAAATATTAATCCTTGATTATTTCGTTATTTTATTTTGGAGTGCCTTGTCCTGATATTTTCTGAAATATAGCTTTTTACTGATGAATATGCATACATATTGATAAAACACAACATTTTCCACCTGCATGTATTACTTAGGGAAAGAAAAGTTCCCAGGACTGGATTCGGAGAACCAGCAGGTCTGTCTGGGTTGACAAAGCAATCAGTGTGCTGAATTTCTATCAGTGTGTTGCTCCTCTTTCCTATAGAGCAGGGGTGTCAAACTCACATCATCATGTCCTCGTCACGTGATGTATCAGGACTTTTTTTCCCATTTGCTAATCCAGGCAAGGGCATGGCTAGCACATGATGCACCCGGCCCATGGGCCAGGCTTTGACACTCCTGCTATAGAGGTTGTGCTGTCTTAAATTCTAATTCAATTTATTATAATCAAGAATCAACTTTTAAATTAAAAGTCATCTTCCTTTCAGAAAAAAACGTACATTTTTTCATAGATATTTTTGGGACAATTTAAAATTTATTCTTTGTCCTCTTAAGATAGGTTACATGTTAATTATGGTGCGCAGATAGCTAGATAACTAGGTGGTATCTAGATAGCAGTGGTGGGATTCAGCCAGTTCACACCTATTTGGGAGAACCAGTTCTTAACTTTCTAAGAGGTTCAGAGAACCAGTTGTTG